AGATAAATAGGCATAATTTAAGCAAAAGATATTAATCATTTATGGAAGTTACAGCGAAAAAAAATAATCAGAAAATTACTTTTTTGAGAGTATTTTTACTATAGGCGATTTTTATGTTTTATGTCAATGCCGTTGTAATTATGAGTTTCGAACATAATTTAATTCTGTTTACTGCATTACGACGTTCAACATTTAACTTAATCCAATATTTTTACTCGGTAAAAAAAACAAAAAATGACTGTTACCTACGTTTTGAAATCGAAACCGTGTTTCATCACTCAGATTGAAAAAAAGTGAATTTTCTTAAAATTTTGAATGTGCACTCAATAGTATCTCACCAAGATTTGCCGCTGGGAAAAATATTATAAAGACGATACATAGTTCGTGGGTACGTGTAAATGAAAAACTTGAAAGTTTTTCTAATGTATCTATTATTTATCTTCGTAAAAGATATTCGAGAATTTTTTCTCTTATATTTGAAATTTAAGTTGTAAAGTTTCAGATTATTAAAAACGCCCCAGACAATTAATTATACGCAACTCAATTTGTTCATTTTTAACCGTTTTCGACGACACTCCATAATGGCTTTTAGAAGAATTAGAATAAAATATGTCCAAAAAATTGAAAAGTGCTACATATGTTTTCTATTCGTAAAGCCAAACGTTACAATCCGTTTAATCCGGATTGATATTCATAAACCGGATTAAAAAGTGTTTAAAAAAAAATTATTATTTTATTTTATTTAAACGTTTTTTTTTCTTATCTAAATCTGTTTAGACAATTCTTTAATTGATCAAAAAATGCGTGTTACTAAAACCAGCGATGGATTTATTTTTTTAAATCAGTGTTTATGAGATGTTATTGTTCAGAGGTGCTATGCATATATGTCATGTCGCATTCCATATACTGTTCGTTATCATTTGTACTTTACTATTGAATATTTAGTCACAGGCATTCTCAGTATTCACTAATCACTATAGTCATTATTATTATTATTCGAACAGAAAATGTCTTAAACTCGAACGAGTTTTACCAAAGGAATTGAAGAACATAACAAACATTTGGTATCTTGCAATGCCTGTGGACAAAAATGCAAACCTTCAGGCAGTACGAATAATTACAATAAAATAACCATTTATGATAGGTACATTTATTGGTAGTAACATTTGTTTCGTTTATTACTGTAAAAGTTAAAATATTTCATTCTAAAAATCTAAAACCCGAAATCAAAATCCGGATTCACGGATTGGATTCGTAAATCTAGATTAAACGGATTGAATCCGAATTCGGATTATGAAATTGTAATCCGGGCCTAAACCCGAATCTAAATTTGAAAGTTCAATTATTTTTCGGTCATAATTTTATATTTGTAATGAAATTTGTCAAAACAATAAATTATACTATTTGTGAAACGTTGTCAATCAATATGATTTATTTTTTTATTCATATTTTTTCTAAAGATATTACCATATAGAAATAGTATATTATACGGAAAATAACAATGATATTATTTTAGCCTATAATATACAATCAATAGTCTATACGAGCTATTTTTCAAAAATAATAATTGATTATATTTTTTAGAAAGAAGATTATATAATATTAAAGCTGGGCTATATCTATTGATACTGACTTCGAGTACTAGGTATAAAAAAATATTCAAAACGAAATTATTGATTAGATTAGAGCAGTGGTCTTAATTTCTTCAACCATTTGACTCGCGAGTTGCGACCCACGTCAACTTTGTTAGTAATGAAAATGAAAAAAACACAAGTTTAAATTATTTACTATCCTAGTATGCCATTGTAGAAGTGTTTTTATTATTGAATAAACAGAAGCTAACATTTTTATAATTTTATATTACATAATTTATTTTTATGTATTTTTTTTTTATGAATAAATGTAAATATATAAATTATTAGATCTTATTTTTTCAGTCATTGTTATAAGACGTAGTTATTAGTTAGCGCCATTTGAAAGGGCAAGAAAGGTAGATCTGGGTATTTTGTTATTCATATAGGTACTAGGCAGGCGCGTACACCAAAAAAAAAAAAAAATTGTTTGGGTGAGGGGGTTCATAAAAAATGTACAATAATCAATATTACCAATATTATCAATATTTTAAAGAAAATATTAAATTTATATAAATAAAACACGCAACTATTAATTTTCGCGGGGGGAGGGTTGAACCTCCCTCCTCCACCCTGTATGCGTGCCTGGTACTAGCATTGATTAAAATATACATATTATATTTAGGTATAATAAACAATAAAAGAATTACTGTACGTGAATAATGCATATTACGAGACAGGTTGGTTTTTTTTATCGCAGTGTACTTCTATCCGAAGTCGAAACTGGGAATTATTGTTTAAATCGACTAACGAGATCCGCTCCCGTCCACTAATAACCGAGTATCTATTTACGATTATATTATAATTGTTATAATATTATTTCTCAGATATCGGAGTTGCGGCCTTATTAAATATTATTATTATTATTATAGGCGATTAGCGACAAGTGACAACGGTCAACGTATTGCGTACATTTTATTATTTTTTTTTTTTTTAAATAATTATGGCTCGTCATACAAAAAATTCCGCGTTATTCTGTAATATTATAATTTCTGTTTGTAATTAACTTGTATATAATATTGTTCACTTAACGTTTTTCGTAATACCTAATTGTCGAAATTAATTGTGTAATGCAAAGTTTAATTAGAAGAGCTGATACTGGGGACGGGTGCGGCCGCTATTGTAGGTGGGTAGTTGATAGCCGTTAAATTTATACCTGTAACCAACGATAAACCATTGATAACGAAAAACGACTCGGAGCGAAGTTCGGTTATAAAAGTATTGGAAGGCCGTAATGATTATGGTTTTCTTTGAAATTTGATTTTAACTTTTAAAAAAAATATACTGCATAAAGCTCAAATTTTTTTTTTTAACCACAGAGTACGAAATTTAAGAAACTTCCTGTTATATTTTCAAACATTTCTGCTCGGTTTAATGAATTTATCCAAAGAGTACCTATCGAATAAAAATTACGCTCGAAATTCGCAAAATTAAAAATGTGTGTTTTTAGCTCAAAAATGGATCGTTTGATTTGAAAATTTGATTGCATCTGGAAAAAGCAAATATAAGTTTTCGCTGTCAAAAACATGCAATAATAATAACTGATGATAGATTATAATGGCCGATAGGCGATAGCTGCGCCGACAGCTCACGTAAGTACCCCTCCCGTGACAGTAACTGTCGTCGAATGTCACGATGGCAGTCACTGTCACTGTGCAACTATAAATACTAAATGTACCATTTAAATAACTTGCTCGTGGTAACAGGTGCGTAACAAACAGTTTTTGTCATAACAATATGTACAACCGACAGTTGACACTGGTGACGATCCGTCTAGGCCATCGGCCATTTAAACCGCCGCGGCCATCTAGATCCGGGAAATGTCGGTATTTCAACGTTGAGAATAGTTTTGTTACACGGCATTTGGCACAAGAGATATATTTAATCAGTAAGACCGTTCGGGGCCGAGCTCCGGCTCAATGTTGTCATTTGTCAATGGGGACTGCGGCTCCGATGCCTCCTCCACGGTGCACGGTGCGGGGTATCGTCGTAATGTCGTGTACCTACGTGTTGTGTAAGTACGTAACGGAACAGAATTTCAATGTCCACCGTGCGCGTTTATCATTCATAATAATATTATTATTGTTGCGATTATCACGCCTTTTCTGGTTTTACGACTTGTTGGTACACGTAAACGGCCGGCGTGATGAAGTCACGCACAAAAAAAAAAAAAAAAAAAAAAAAAAAAACAAAAAAACAAACTGTACAAATAAATAATATAATTAAACATAGGCAAGTCGTACGCGATATTAACATAATAATTATTATTGCGCGGACGCAGACACGCGGCAAGCGTATTTATAGATCCTGTCGACAAGTAGCCTGCAGTATAATAATTGCGGTAGACGAAAAAAAAATAAAAAATAATAATAAAATAATGACAGAGTTCTAAATTTTACGGGATTGCAATATTATTAGAATGACGCGACAACTCCACGGAACGAACGTTACGAACGTGAAAAAAAAAAAAAACAAAAACACATCGCATGTTCGGGCAGGGGCGGATCCCGGCGGTGGTTATAAGGGGGGCGATAGGCGGATCGTCCCCCTCGTCCCTTTTGTTCGTTTTTTGTTTAAAATAAATAATCGAATGAGTATTAATCATGGTAATGATTGTGCGTTGAATTTCAAAATATTGGAGAAAGGTATGGAACATGGGCTATCCAACATTATTGTCCTATGATTTTTTTGTTTATCATTTTCGCCCCCCCCCCCTAAAGTTAGTTATAACCGCCACTGGCGGATCCAGAGCTTTGGAGGGGGGGTGGCAAATGTGTTAATATAAGTTCTAAAAATAGATAGTAAAAGACCGTATGATCAAAAACACACTACTTCACTACGGTGATTGGGCGGGGAAAAATTACCCCGTCGCCTCCCCCCTCCTTGGATCGGCCGCTATACCCACAGGACGAACGGACAGCGGCGAAGTAGAGCGGCAGTGATAGTTTTTCAACCGTGTCCGTCTTTCTAACGACAGCGAGCAATCACAAAAGACATTTAAAATCGGTTTCAGTGATAAAAACACTAGTTACGAAATGTGTATAAATATTAAATAACGACACATCACTGATAACTATCAGTGGCACCGAATCCTGTGTTTAGGTCGACCCTTGGCCCGATTTTTTTTTAAAAAATGAACATAAGACCGCTTCATTTTGGGGGCCAAAGTTTGGTCGCCAAGCCGAATTAATACTTTATTACAGAAATAAAACCTGCGCTAATCATAATTTCGGACATAAAATGGGCTATGGGTTGAGTTATTGGGATCTTTTGAAATGTATTTCGTCCGACTAAATTTTTAGTACTTTGTCACCACTATGACAACCCCATATAGGCGATTTATTTTTTAAATGTATATTAATAAAAAAGTTACAGTTCTTCTTCTTCTTCGCCTTCATCCCAACTATTTGGGGTCAGCCACCCTTGTCCTAACTTCCACTTGACCCGATCACACACATCGTCCTTACATACAACTATCATCCTCGTATCATTCTCAATCTCATCCAACACTTTTTCGGTCATCCTCTTCTCTCCTACGTTTATTTTAATCTCTCTTCATGACATGTCCAAACCATCTTAGTCTATTTGCTCCCATATTGTCTACTATCAAAGCCACGCCTAAGCTACTTTTTATGTACTTATTCATTATCCTGTATTCTCTTGTCATTCCCCTAATCAATCGCAACTATTGTCATCACTGCTACACTCATTCTTTGGTACATTATTGTTCTGTCTTTTGTCTACTGCCAACATTCCAGAAATAAAAATGTTACAGTTATTTAAAAAATATGTAAAATTGTTAGTAGGTACTTACACAAATAATACTATAATTAGATAATAGGCATTGTTAAACACCGAAGAGGTTGTCTTCAAAGTGTTGTCGTCCACAAATTGTACGATAAGGTAGGTACCTCTAAAACAAATTTTAAAGGCATTTTCGTTTATTTTATGCTTATAAAATAAACATGATGTTTACTATGTATGTTGCAAAGACACGAGACAACACAACAAATGCCACTTAACTAGTAGGTCTTATTTATTTAACTGCACATAAACAATAATATTGTACTAAAAATATTATTACCGATGTCCACGTGATAGTCAGTGAAAAAGTGAACATAATTGGTGACCGAATGCTACTAAAATTACGGTGAAACCAAAGGTTAACATTTATTATCGCGTTTTTCTATGATTTTTGTAGGGTTCTGGCAAAAATTACATAAACGCCGTTTTTTCTGTGCCAGAAAATCAGTAGCGTTATTAGAGGAAGATAAGCAACTTTTGATCACTTACCCTAATCTAACTTTTAATTTGTTTGTCTTGGAAATATTGATGCGAAGAAAAAAATATGCACCTATCAGTTTTTTTGGTTAAAAAATCTACTTTCCTCATAAGTCGTAAAATTGATTAAGTTTGCCATACTACCATATATTTTAAGGATGCCACTAACCTAAATTATGTCTCCAATAAACTCTTTTGGGGGAAATTTGTTAGCGCGGAAATTGTTCTTTCTGTAGACGAAAACTTTCATTGTTAACATTCATATTTTCTGATTTAAATTTTATACTATTATTTATTACCAAAAAACTAATAGGTCAAATTTGAGGTGAAAAGAAATGGCAAACATCAAATTGTACGTAATAAAGTATCTTTTTTAAATACATATTGAATCAGACAAAAGTAAAAATTACCGATTTGAGAATTCTGAACACAACTCATGAATCTTTCCAAGGTCTAATGGGGTGTATAAATATTAATGGCATTGATGATCATTAACTATTATAAACATGGTGATGATGAAATTGTGAAATACTCAGATGGTAATCGTTGTTCACAGAGAGTGTATTATTATTGTAATAAAACGAAGGGAAAATGATTGGAAAAAAAACAGCTTTGGTATAAAAATATCCAGATGAAAATATAATTTCAGGAAGTATAAAAAAACTGTGAAACATACAATTTTCATTAATTTTTTTTTTAATTATATTTTATATACCTTTACATAGTACATTATTACACAAATGCTAAACATTACATCAATTACATCAAGTTACACAAAGAACTATAATATATAATAATATCACTAAGAATATATAATTGTTTTTTTTTTTATGTATAATATAATATAACAAATATTGTAATTTTTTTTAAAGTGATTTTTTTTATTCGTGCACATAGCGTCAAATTTTTTTTTACTTTAAGTTAACACGATAACTACAAATTCAAATGTTACACTATACCAATCATTTAATACACAAAAAAAAAAAAAAGAGTAAAATAATAATAATAATAAAAAGTATCTTTTTTTACGATTGAATATACAGGCATATATGTATAATATATTATTTATATTTAAACTAGTAATTTTTTTATTACATTTATTACATATCACTACAATATTTTCCTTAGTAAATCGAATAGGGTCTAATAAAATAAAAATATCATTTCAACATATTTTAAAACCAGAGTGTAGTATTGTATTGAATTTCTTACAGAAAAAAAAAAAATATACATAAATAAAATAAAAATGAATTGTTTACACAGTGAAAGAAATTCATACAATTGGTAGTAGATATATATATATAAAAAAAAAAAAAACCTAATACAAATTAGAACTTTATAACATTATTTGCATATATTTATATATTTTATTTACTAATAGAAATAATAATGAACAAATTTTACACTGTTGAATAATAATCAATAAACCTTTACACATCAGTCTTGCTAAGAAATGGTTTTTTTTTTTTTTTAAACTTTTTCTTTACACTGCCAATATTTAATACAAATTATTAATAGATGATAATATAACCCCATACAAATTTACATAGGAATAATACTAAATTATAAATTATATATAAAACAAAATTATAAATGTTTTACAATAGGTAAACCATCTAAAGAAATTTTGGTTTTCTTTTAAATGTATATGCATGTGTCCTACTTAAAAAGATTAAAATAAGTTTTTATTAGTTGTATATTGTTTATACTGAATGTAATTATTGTAAATTATGTTTGCCCAGCACATATTGTGATGCGCGCACAAACCTCTAAAATAATATAACTATTAATTTATCAGTTATACATATCTATTTAGAAAAGAAAAAAAAAATGTATTATTAAAAAATAAATCTAAAAATATATACTTTTATAAAATTATTATTATATTAGTACTAAATTCTAGTATATGTGTTGATTATAAGGGGATACTGGAACGTTTGAAACAATTTTTATTCTACTATATATACATACAAGTATGTATTTATAATTAATATTATTATTTATTAGATTAGATCTAAGAAAATATTATATTATAATAAATATTGTTACAGGTCTAGAGTAAAAATACCAAGTTGTATCATGTTTACAAAAACAATTTGATACCATATTTAAAATGTTACGTTTATAAATTCCTACTAAAGTGCTCATTTTTTTTTCCTTATAGAAATTATTTTTAACAAATAATAATAATTCTGGTTGGTCTATTGGTTTGTACGTACGTACGTGTGTGTGTGTGTGTGTGTATAATGAATAAGGACAGTAGTTCTATTCACGATTTTACGATTCTTGTGTATATTACAAAATATAATTATTATTAATGAGGTGTAATGGCCTTAATAATTAAATCGCAGAGGTTTTTGTACTCAATAATATTATTAAATTATATAAATATTAATTGCACGGGTGGTCAAATGTATATTTTTTTATTTATTTAAATAGAATGTCATAAATATCTAGGTGTAATTTAATAATATTTTGAATCACATAATCATGTTATTTATGGAATAATTAAAATTTTGAATATTGATTTACGTGTAATTAAAAATGAATAATAAAAATAAATAAAAATTTAAATGTATAAAACTGCGATATTTTTTAAAATTGGAAAGTTATAAAAAGGAGATCCATTGTCAACATGGCAGTGACAATGATGGGAAATTTTTTTCAACTTGATACTGATGCTAAAAAAATAAAATAATCATAATTGATCAGAAAATTATTTTATATCGGGTATATTTATGGGAGTAAAATGTACACATTTATGTTTATAGATAATTTTCTTTAAATTAGAAAACAAATTTAATTACACAATACATAGGTTCTAAAAATTAGCAGTCTTTTTAATTTTTTTGTTTCGTTCAGTTTTGTTTTTAATTTTTAAATTATTTATATATGGTTTATTCATACATTAACCGGAAAATCAAAATACATCATAAATTTCAAAACGTTAAACTTTTCTTCCGGCTAGACACTAGTAAATGTTACTCATATTCAAATTTTGAATACACGAATTGGGAAAAAAAAAACAAATTAAAAAAAAAAAAAACAAAAAACAAAACATTAATAATTTAAATCATTTTAGAAAAAGATTATGTTCACATTTCTTTCTTTGTTATGTACATAATTATCACCAGGAACATAATTATCTAACTTATGCATAATTTTGAGAAATACCTTTCAAATTATACAAAAAAATAAAATAAAATTATTATGAATGAAAGGACAATTTTAGCGTTTATATATATATATATATACATATTATTATATATGTATATATATATATATATATAAATATTAAAAAAAAAACAAAAAAAATACATACATTTATATACACATATGTACCACCAATTTTTTTTTTTTTTAATTACGTTCATTGCGGATAGAATAATATAATAATAATAAAAAAAAAAAACTGGTAGGATTTTATAACATACAGATTTTCATATTATACAACATAAAACATAATGGCTTTCACAGATTTTAAAAAATATGCAATTTTATACATTTATGTATAGTATAGTGTAAATATATATATAAATGATTTAAATATATAATATAATATGTATCTATAAAACAAGCGTTGTAATAATAAATTGTGTACATTATATAATTTCTTTATACAGCGTATATATATATATGTAATATATATATATATATATAATTACAGGAATGAATTATTTAAAATTTATATGTATATTATTTATTTATATAGAAAACGAAATTTGATTTTATATTACAGAAAAAACAAACAAAAACTTTACTATAAAATACTAAAATTATTTAAACCCTGTTTAAAAATTAAATGAAATACTATATAAAAAAAATTATACAAAATATTATACACTCATTTTGCTTAATTTAAAAAAAAAATGTATTCAAAAAGACCCAATATTAATTTTTTCTGTACACTATAATATAATTGGAAGCGAATATACACACAAACACTGTATTAGAAATTCACACTAAGGTCATATAAACGGGGTGCTATTTTTATTTTTGTTTTGAATGTACATACCTTGTAAACGTCACCATATTAGAACATGTTAAAAAAAAAAAAATTGTCTTTAAGATACAGTATTTAAGGTGTTATAAATATTATAGTATATTAAAGCCCCACTCTTATAAGCTAATTAGTAATTATTATTATTTGTTTCTAATAAATATAATTTAAAAAGAACCTTCCAAAGCCATGTAAATAACTAATTAAATTTGGATACAAATTATTTCAATGCACAAAAATT